ATTTTCAACTTTCATTCGGGATTGTTGTGGCGTTTAAATGCTCTATTAGATCTACCAAATAGCCAGTAAGATGGTTCTCAAAGCAGTGCCTTTATCCTATCAGCCAAGTTCCTGCTTGAAGTCCGGTGGATATTCCCGGACAAGAATGGTGCCAAAACCGCACTCTGAAGTAATGGAGGATTGATTTGCCTAGACAGGTGTCCATCCGGGATTCAGTCTTCAGACCATTTGTGACAAAGCGATACTTTGCACTACACCATCTCCGTTCCTTCAAAAATACTTGAGCAAGAACCTGCCATTGTAGTGACGGTAAAACAAGAGATTGGGCGCTCTAGCGCTTCAAATTTCGATCCTTTTTTAATTCGAATGTGAATCATAAAATGTAAATCAAGGTCGTCCATTGTTGCACAAATGTAGTTAGATTTTTTTATGTTTCAAGTGAATCCTTGCTAAGAACTTCGATCAAGCAGTGTTGTATAGTGCAGACCTTGCACTACCGCAGGGACCATTCTTACTAGATTGAAGCATTGTACCAGTGCGTGCGCATATTTAATACATATACATGTAAATATGTATGTGGGGTGTGGGTTTGTGCTTGCGAGGAATACAATTCTTGAAGCACCTGGATCAAATTGGGATGGGGATGGGGAATAGCGAAGATGAATGAAGCAGAAACGAGCTAGAATGATCTGTGCCTGCGAAATGTGCACCAAAACAGGGGAAGAGAAAGCTAAAACATTGTAGCTCGGTTTCGGAGCAGCTCAGAAACTAGGATGAAGTTGTTTGGGCGGGCACCGGTTCTTAGGCAAGAATAAGCAGATCTAGTGGCAATGAGAAGAATGCTCTTAAAATTGGCGTAGCTTAATACGAAAATACATAACTCAGTTGCAAGCTGCCCTCAGAAACAGCAAAAACCGCTAGAAACAGGCACGTTTTAAGGTGTATTAACTGAGCGAAACTCCGAAGCTTGCACTCATGTTGTACCTCGCTTAGAAACGTCCTAGAAGCTCAGAAAAGAGTGGTAGAGTTAATTATTCACGACAAGGGGTATTAGCTGAAATCAATATTTAAACGGTATTATTTCAGTAATTGAGAGTGCGAGAATGGCAACTCCTGCTGTACTATACTCTAAAAAGTTTCCAAAATGAAATAAAAAATTTCAGAAGTGTGATTTGCTCCGGGATCGGCGAAGAGTTAATGTTGCATTGACACGAGCTAAGCACAAGTTGATAGTAGTAGGATGCGCCGAAAGTATGCGTACGATAGATATCATGAGTAGGGTAATTGATAGTGTGAAGGTGGTCAAGTTATAATTCACTTAGCTTTCGAGTAGAGATTCGCACTGTTTTGTCTACTTTCACGCTGGCAGTTGATCCTTTCACCTCTTCCATTGTTGCTTTCAACATAAGATACGATCATGCTTCTTGGTACGATTTCGGCTTGCTAACGGGTTGGCTCGTTATTTTGTGCCATAGTTTTCTCTAATCTATTTTTTACCTCGACTAATTTATTTTGTTTTTAGTCACCTCTGTAACATTATTTTACCTCGGCTAACTTATTTTGTTGACTCTCACCACTGTAACATTATTTATGGTGTAAGAAAATATAACATTCTCCTAATTTTCTGCAAATAAAGCATTAAAAATGGAAGAGATATTGCTTTTGGAATAGCCGAAATGACTCGTAAATCAGTAACATGAACAAATGAATTATATCGAGCAGCAAACCTATGCGAAAAAAAAAAAGAATTTGAAAATCTTTCAAGATAATATGAGTTGCCGTTGAGGAGACCTTGTCACACAGAAGGATTACTGCTTTTCACTTACCTTCTCCAACGATAGTACTAGATAGTTCCACTGCTGCTCAGTATCAATACGTGCATCTATTGTTAGCTACATATTGTATTAGGTTGAGTCATAAGTCCTCGGACAGTGATGACAGTGATGACTTCTAGAGATCATAACTCGGGAAAAAGATGACGAAAATGGGCGCACGAGGCATCTTTAGATAGAGTATGAAAAGCTCTTTCAAGTATTATAATAGATACTTACGAATACACCTGAGTGTTCCTTTTCCTGCACTCATGCCCCATGATTTCAAGCCGTCGCAACTCCACCTCCGCAACACCATCCTATTTCTTCTTTATCTGGACAGGAACTCGCAGCAATCGATAGACGTATGAAGGAAGTTTATAAGGAGGACGTCATTGTTAGAAGCACAATTTACAGTTGGCACTCGAAGTTCGCATTGAGCGACTATTCCATCGAAGATGAAGACCATAAGGGGCGCTCCATGGAGTTGGATTTGAACGTGCTGCTGGGTCAGGCGGAAGTCGATCCGTTTCAAACTACTTGTGAACATGCAGTGACTCTTGGGGTGATTCAGTCTACAGTTGATCGTAGATTGAAGTCAAACGGCAAGGTGCGAAAGCTCGGTCGATGGGTGCAGCATGCTTTGAAGCAGTATGATATGGTTTGCCGCGTCGACAGGGCACATTTTCTCCTCACGCTCAAGCGCAGGAAGCATTCAGGTATGTTCGTCAGTGGGCATTTGAAAGAGCTTTCTGTACTCTATCTAAAGATGCATCACGCGTCCATTTTCGTCGCCTCCTGCCCGAGTTATGATCTCTATCATCACTATCACATTGTACGAGGACTTATGGCTCAACCCAATAGAAACATGCGAATGTGATTTATGGATTGAATAAAGTAGATAATGAAGAAACTGACACCAAAGGCTTCTACTTTTGGTGACCGGGAGGGAAGACCTACAGAAACGAAAATTCGGTACGAGCACTCGGCTCTTTCATATCCCCTTGGCTTACCCACCCCATCCCTGTGTCCTTGCCCAAAACCTCTTTTCGACTAGTCGTATATGTGATGGGTGAAAATTTGCGTGTCAAAATGGGGTTATGCCGTGCCGGATTACTGTAAGAGCCAATTTTCGTTTTCGTGGAAGACCTTTGGTTGCATAGACATTGTCTAAGTCACAAAACTTCAAATTTAGGAAGACATTCGAGTGTTCAACGACTTTTGCGTTGCTTGTGGACGTTTGTCGATGTTTACATGTAACTCGTACGATTCCACCCTGACCTATGCTCTCCAGGATTCAGATGAGAGACGTCTCTAGGAAATTTTTAGACTCTCTGCTTTTCTAGCCCTATCGTGAGGGTGTTCGGCGAGATATCCATATATGTAGTTTCAGGGGCGCAATCCTTATCGATAATGATATTTTGGCTTCGTCTCCTGAGTTTACAGCGCTCTCTAGGCACTGAAAAACACAATCTTACGCGTGAGAAACGGTCGTCCGATCCTGCGTTGAGTTTCGGAGCGAGAGCCGCCTCAGTCAGGCTAAACATGCGATTGAATATGATGTGATCTATTCCATTATGGAATTGCCATCAGGTAACTCCCTCGTCCATAGTAAATCAGAGAAGTTCAAGACTCAGACTACTCCACACAGCTGATTCCATTCGAATCCGTGTGTCCCGATGTGGAGCTCTTCGGCCGTTCTTCTGTGGCCAATGTTAGCGTTGAATTACCGACGATAGCTTTAAAAAAAGTATGGTCTTATCTGTAGAGCCTCTCCAGATCCACACGAAGCGCTTCCTACTCCTCTTCGTCGTAGCTTGATGTTGGTGCGTAGGCAACGAAGATTGTTAAAGCTGGGGATCAGCCACATCTTCTTAATCGCAAACTTCCGATTCGTGTTGTCAAGCTTTCGTATGAATCGATGTTCATGGCCAGGTGCGGGTTGACGAGAGTACCTACACCGCCGATATTTACCGTTGCGGCCCAGGGTGCAGCGAAAGATCTGGCAACGGTAAATATGCCTGTAAAAACGGTCAAATCGATCAATACGTGATACAACTTCAACACTTATTAACAGCTATATAGATCACAAAAACAACCTAGATCTCGAAATGGCCTCGAATAATAAATTTGCGCGAATACAGGCTGAAGGACCCAAGGAAACGCATCGACGGCGGCACGGAGGTGGTCTTCGTCCAAATCCTCCCATGCTTTAACGAGGGTTGCACATGGAGCATCCAAACTTCTATGCTGAGTAGAGCAGGTTTTTGTCTTCGGAAATACCCACACGTAGCACTCCAATGTACTTAGGTCCGGACTGTTTAGGGGCCAATCGTTCGACGAGATGAAGTCTGGGAAGAGCGTTGCGCACCAGTCCTGTACCACCTTGGACCTGTATGCAGAGGCTGAGTACTGTTGATAAGTCCATGTTCGCTTGCCGAAATGGGTGGGTTTAGGAATTGACAGACATTCGTCAGTGAAAAGGGTGTTGCCCTGTCGTGCCCGCGAAAATCGCTTTGAAAGCTTCTTACATGTTTCGAGCCTAGTTTTCTTCACACGCTCAGGTAGCATGTGAGCTTTTCTGATCTTATGAGTGCGAAGTCGAAGGTGGCTGATGGCAATCCTTCCAACGGATCGAGCAGAAATACTCACCTCAAGAGCCATTTTTCTCTCGGTTCTACGGGGGTGACGGCGGATTTTCTCTCGAATAATTTTCACGATCTTCTTTTTCGTTGCACTCTTTGGTCTTCCACTTCCAAGCTTGTCCTCTATAGTTCCTGTCGCCTTGTACCTGTTGACGTTGTTGTACACGCTTCTTAAGGGAATCTAGAGCTGCTTGGAGATGGTCTTCGCAGTGCATCCAGCGAGATGGAGGTGCAGGATGGAGGCTCGTTGATCTTTGCCTGTCATCATTCTGTAAAATGGCATATTCAAGAACGGCCAGACCATGGAATACATAGAAGGTTTGCAGTAAATAGTAGCGCAGATCCTATCGGAATCGTAGGCCTCATTCCTTGTAGAAGACCTGAAACGGGATTTTGCGGATCTTTCGCCGCACCCTGTAGTTCTCATTGATTCATTCTTTGTAATTTCGCCTACTATGATGAAACGAAAGATAGCGAGGTCATGCTCATGAATACAATTTTTTCATCAAAATAAAAAGGCTTGTGAGACTTTAAGAAATATCCATTCAAGTCCATTCAAATTATGTACGTGGTAAGTACGATATGTGTCAGTTTCTACTGTTATCTTCTCAATGTCCCGTTACTTTTTGAACCCCTTACGTTTCCCGCTTGTTCAAAAAAAGTAGCTTACCTAGCGTTCTTATTATTTCAATTCGGGGAAGAAATCAAAATTTAAATGCCTAAAAAATAGTCTTGTATTCGAGCAGCTTGGGTGACGTCGAATTGCTCTTTTAGTGATGTTCTTTCCCATTTTGCTCACA